AACACACAAACAATGAGTCCTGAAGAACATGAACATTTTCTGGCTTGAGTGATCAGGATGACTGTTTTCTCTGCTCAGATTTGCTGCCCAATTAATTANCCCACTTCCGTTCCCTCTCTTTCTCTACCTCTGTCCCTCTGTCGCTTCCTTGCTGTCTCTCTCTGTCACTGTCTGACCTTCTCTCTCCCCAGTCTCTGCCCCTTCCTCCGATCCCTGAAAGAAACGGCTACTCTATCGCAAAATCCCCTTCTTCCTCAGTGACCAATTTTCTTTCCTACAGTGAGAAAGTAGCTCAGGCCTTAACCCATTTCCTCCGGCGTATCCAAATTAATTAGGTGAGGCTGGGATCGCACATTTCAGAATTAGAGTAATATTTATTGAGCACCCTGGAGAGAAGGGGATGGAAAGTGGAGAGGAACAGGAGTGAGGAGGGAGGTCATTGAACTGAGGAGTTGAGGGAAGGGGCTGTGAGATGATAGAGGGGGACCCAGCATCATCAGGGAACAAGGACCCCATTCCTAGCTGCCCGAGGGCTCCAGGCAAGGGGGAACCCTAGGGGGCGGTGCTCAGGAAGCAGAGAAGCCTGCTGTGGGTGTGGCCTCCTTGGGACCACACAGGGCAGGTCCCTGCAGCCTAGCTAGCCTGTCTGTTCAGCACGTGTCCTTCTCCTTCAACTGGGCAGCCCAACTCAGCCCTGCCAACAAGGCACCTGGAGAGGGTATCACGCAAGTCAGTACCTTCAGGGGGAGACAGCTTGGCTGTAACCCAGTTAAAACTCCTTCTCCAGCAGCAAGCAGGGATGCTCTGGGGCACCTGATGTTCTCCAGAGAGGCGTCTTCCTCCTCACCTCTCAGCCCTCAGCATCGGCATGGCTTCTCAGGATTGAGTACCGAGAGCCACCCCCAACCCACCCCCAACCAATCCCAAGAGTCCTGATCCCAGGTTGAACATCTCTTCTCTGCCGGGTCCCCCTTGGCCAATAAGCCTGCAGTGAATCTGCTGTGGGCTTGCCATTTACACTGTCCATATGGACCAAAGGGATGCTGGGTTGAAAGCCCTACAAAGGCTGGGACGGAGATACTCTTCGCTCTTTTCTCTCTTTGAGTAATGGCTGAGCAGTGTGCCAAGAAAGACCCAGAGATACACTGACGGGGCAGACACACAGATCCCCTGAATTTCAAGATGTTCGTCTCAGTGTTGCCAGCCCTACTTGTCCCAGAGCCCAGTCCAGCGTCCCATCTTGGTAGATATTGCAGGAACTAGATTGCCTTGCGCGTTAATCAAAGACCTACTTCACATAGTGCTGTGTACATGTGGCTCGGAATTTCTCAACCTTGCCAGCACTCTGGGTGGGATAATTCTTTGTGGGGGGTGGGTCGTGGGGGGCTGTCCTGTGCCGTGTGGGATGTTTAGCAACATCCTTGGCCTCTGCCCACCAGTTGCCAGTCGACTTCCCTCCCCAGTTTTGTGGCAACCAGAAAATGTCACCAGCCATTGCCAAATGTTCCCTAAGGGCGAAATCACTGTCATTCACGTAGATTTAGTCTTGACTTTCCAAAAACGTGGACTTAACCGCTTGACTCTGTTTTTCCTTCATAGATTTCCTTCATAGATAAGAACTTGAGAGGCAAGATAAAGACAAAAAAAGAATATGACCTTTTTTTTTTTGATAATAGTAACTTTATTGAGATGTAATTCACCTACTATAAAATTCATCCTTAAACTTAAAAGTGTCCAGTTCAGTGATTTTTATACATTTTCAGAGTTGTCCAACTATCACCACTGTCTGGTTTTAGAATATTTTCATCATTCCCCCAAAGAAAACCCATACCTATTAATAGTCATTCTCCATTAACCCCTCCATTAGCCCCTAGTAGGGCTTCCTTGGTGGCCAAGTGGTAAAGAATCCGCCTGCAAGTGTAGGAGATGCCGGTTTGATCCCTGGTCGGGAAGATCCCTTGGAGAAGGAAATGGCAGCCCGCTTCAGTATTCTTGCCTGGAAAGTCACCTGGACAGAGCAGCCTGGCAGGCTAAAGTCAATGGGGTCACAAAGAGTTGGACACAACTGAGCAGCTAAACGGCAACAACAGCCCCTGGCAGCCACCAGTCTACTTTCTGCCTCTATCGATCTGCCGAATCTGGGTATTTTATATACATAGAATCATAACCTGTGGGTTTTTGTGACTGGTTTCTTTCATGTAGCATGTTGTTTTCAAGGTCATTCATGTTGTAGCATATATCAAAGCATCTTGCTTTTTTAAGGCTGAATAATAATACTTTGTGTGAATACACAATATTTTATTAGTCCATTCATCAGAAGATGGGCATTTGGGTTATTTCCACCTTTTGGCTATTGTTAATAATGCTGCTATGAACTTTCATATACAAAGTTTGTGTAGGCATATGTTTTCATTTCTGTTGGGCATATACCTAGGAGTATTCTAATTGCTGGGCCATATGGGAATGCTATGTTTAATATTTGGAGGAACTGCCAAACTGTTTACCAAAGGGCCTGCACCGTTTTGCATTCCCACCAGTAGTGTATGAAAGCTCCAATTTCTCCACATCCATGCCCACATTTGGAATTGTCTTTTGGTCATAGCTATCCTCGTGGGTGTGAACATGTATCATATTGTGTTTTTGATTTGTACTTTCAAATGTTGAGCTACTTACTTTTCATGCCTGTACCTTGTTTGGAGCAATGTCTAATTATATCTCATCCATTTTTAAATTGTGTTGTTTGTTTTTTATTGCTGAATTATAAGAGTTCTTTAAATATTCTGAATGCATATCTCTTAGCAGAAATATGATTTGCAAGTATTTTCTCCCATTCTCTGGGTTGTCTTTCATTTTCTTTGTGCTATTTTCTGATGTAGAAATGTTTTTAGTTTTGATGAAGTCGAGTCTGCAAATTTTTTCTTTTGTTCCTTGTGCTTGGGTGTCATATCTAAGAAACCTTTGCCAACTCCGAGGTTACAGAGACTGACTTCTCAATTTTCTTCTGAGAACATATACTGTTAGCTCTAATATCTAGGTTTATGATCCATTTTGAATTAATTGCTACATGTGGTGTGAGGTGAGGGTGCAGTTTTATTCTCTGCGTGTGGACGTCCATTTGTTGAAGAAACTTCTTTTCCAGTGGTCATGGCGTCCTTGTCGAAAATCAGTTGAACAAAGATTGATTTCTGGACTCTTCAATTTGATTCCATTGGTCTGTTCTTCTGTTGTAACTTTTAACTCGCTATTTCCTTACCATGGAAAAATGGTAGGAAAGTGTCTTTCATAAATAGGGTGAAGGAGTCTAGGTAATTTGTGTGGATGTATGGTTAAAAATATATATATAAAATATTGATCACATTCTGGAATTAAAAGGGAGCTTCGAGGTCATGTTAGTTTAAACCGTTTGTTTTGCTGCTGGGGAATAAAAAGATTAAATTTCAATTTCAGTGGCCAATAAATCTGTCTGAAGATTCACAGCTCATCAGTGGCAGAGCTGGTATTAGAACCGAGATCTCTCGATTTTGTGGGGCAGTGTTTTTTTCTTATTCCCAGGCCCCAGGTCTGCCCGAAGTTCCTTTACCAAGCTAGCGAGGTTCTGTCTTCGCCTCCCCACTTCTTGGTCCACAGAAGTGAATGAGGTGATGACGTGTGTGCGCTTTCCCTCCTAGAGCCTGAGGAAAAAAAAGCAAGCCAGCATGGGGAAAGCATTTGGAAAATCTGAAATTGCTGTATAAATGCCACTAAATGATAAGATTGCCAGCTTGCTGCTCCTCTCCTAGGAAGGTTCAGCATGTCAGAGGCAGAATAATGAAAGGAAACAATTCACTCTCAGACTCCTTTTTAAACTGCTGTGGTTGTCACTTTTCAAGGAAGGGGGCCGAGTGCAGGGAGCTAGAAGGAAGCCTCGGGGTGGGCTGGGTGTGGCCCGATCTCAGGTGGGCTGGACTGGCTGGGAGAGGGCTGGAAGCACATGCCTCACCCACGCCTGAGGGACAGCCCGGGTACATGGAAGAGTCCTTGCCCCGCTCATGCAAAGACCTGGGCACCTGGCCCTGAAATGACCGTGTCTGATGCTGGTCCCTTGGGTCTCCTCAGAGCATCCTGTGTGTCCCCGTTTTCTACCAACAGTAGTATCACCTGTGATATTCACCTGCAGAGGGAGTCTTATTCCAAACCAGGTGTGGGAGTGATGTCCCCTAAATGCTGAGCCCCTAGATGGTTGGAACTGTGTTCTGTTTACCCTGGTCTCTGCCGTGACTGAGGCATACAGTCCTTAATTAATGCACATTTGGTGTTGAGTGAATGAAACCTGCTCCTGTGGTACTGGGACCCTTGCAGAGGGCGTGGACCTCTCTAGCAGCATCTCTGTACATGTCTCTTTCCTCTCGTGTATTTTTCTCTCTCTATGTTTGTGATTGCTCCGTCCTCTAAGCTCCAGCTGCATTCACTGCCTGCACCGTCCTTGTATTCTGATATTTATCATTTTATCTGTACGTCCTGTCTTTGCAGCTAAAGCACCCCTTTCTGGACCACGGGAGCTGAGTTTTGTACTTATTTAGGTCACCTGTATAGATACAGTCTCCTCAGTGTATGTCTTTCGATGGGGAGGTTGATCCCCCTGTTACTAATTACTTGCCACTGAACTGGAGGCCAACAGTGACCACCTTTCACTGCAGTGGCATTCCTCACGGCACCTTCTGTAGTATCTGCCTGGCATAGGGGCTTATTTGGGGAGCCAGCATTTTGAAAGGGCTCAGAGTTCATTGGTATGAAATGAACCAAAGAAAGAAACCACAATCACAACCTTTTAATACCTGTCCCAGCAGCATGGCAGCATCTCCCCTATATCCCCACTGGGCCCAACACCAGATGATGCTGTGGCTGTAACTGAATATTGGGTCTCCATCCATCAAAGGGCCAGTGAAAGTCACCCACCCAACTTTCTTTGTGGTTGTGCTCACTGGTTTGGTGAACCTCACTGTGTGATCTTTCTCTTTCAGGGCTCTGGCTGACATCCTAAGACAACAGGGACCAATCCCCATAGCACACTGTGAAAGAGAAACTATCTCGGCCATCGATAGCTCTCCCAAAGAGAACACGCCGGTCCGATCGTCCTCCAAAAACCACTACACCCCCGTGCGCACGGCCAAGCAGACTCCAGGTAAGTGAGCGCTGATCACTTTGCATCTCTGCTGAGGCTGGTGAGAGGGTTCTGTGGTGTTTCTGCTTCAGCCGGGCAGGTCGTGGAGCCCTGACCTGGTGGGCTTGTGGAAGAGTCTGGGGACTGTCCCTCCTGGGGAGAGAGTGGCATGGAAAGACCACCGCCAGTGAGTGTCTGGGCTGGAGGAGAGCTGATTGTTTAGGGCTTCTGTGATGTCGTGAGTGTCTGCATAATTCTCTTCCCTGGAAGGAACTTGCGGCAGCCTTAGGGGTGAGGTATAGTCACTGTCTTGCCCACGTGGTGGGAAGGCAGATCTTTCACAAGAAGTGGCTACAATCAGAGACTGCTCAACTACTGGAATCTCAAAAAGCATTTCCTGTGGGTAGGGATTACGTCTGTGTTGTAGGATAACCCTTTCCTGTGCCCTGTGGAATCTCTGGATATGCGAGTTGCTGTGTGATAGCAATATGCTGGTATTCTTCCACTTGGTCATCACTGTAACCCATATGGAACAATAAACAAAACAAGGGAATAACAATAAATAATGTAACCTCTCATGTATGGGGATCTTGCTGTGTGCCAAGTGTTATGCTGATCATTTTACATGGATTGTCTTACTTATTTTTCACAGCAGCCTTTGACGTGCTTATATTGTCCTCTTTTTATATATGGAACAGAAAGGCTCAATGATTTTCCCAAGGACATATGGTTAGTATGAAAGCAAGCCTGGATTCAAACTGAGGCATGTAGGTAACAACAGTCAGGTCTAGAAAACCCTAGTATCCTAATCCAGTTTGGGACATTACTTTCTCAGAGTTTCTGAGAGGACTGTCCCCTTACAAGAGTAGCTGGGAAGGTCATCTCTCATCGTGAGCATTACCAGACAGCCTTCTGCTAACCCCAATCTCAGACATGGCTTCTGTGTTGATACTTGGATCTGAAATCGTCACATCTGTCTGTAGGGTCTGAACTAAACCTGCAATAAAGATATGTAGTCACTAGGTGGCAATAGGTATGTTGTGAATTCAAACTGTAGCAGACATGCTATTGAGACCAAATTTATTAAATGAGAGATCACATACTTGCCTTTGAGGTAATAGAGTTAAGTCTTTTGAGACTGTGATAAAAATCAAGGACATTCACCTCCCCCAAACATACACATATGAATATATATTTGATCCAACATGTTGTGTAGGGTTTACAAGGTTCTTCCAAAGTTAAAAGTCTCTGATTTAAAATTAAAGATGAGAAATCCACCCTTGCAAAAATTCTAAGATGCATTTTTAGCCTGAATATCATAAATGTTTAAAATGTAAGTAATAGAAGGAACTGGCAAAAACCTCGAGACCAGTGATTATCTCCCTTGCTGCACATTAGAATCACCTGGGGAAGCTCTTAAAAATGCTGATGATGCTGGTGTCTGGGTCCCACCAATTAACCAGAGTTTCTGGGGATGCTGCTGGCAGCAGTATTTTAAAAAAATCACTCGAAAGTGATTCTAACACACAGACAGAATAAAGAGCTACTTGTCCAGATGGATTCCTTTATTTTATGAATGAAGACACTGAAAGGCTGTGCCAGTCATCCTCAAATTTGGCTGCACGCTGGAATCACCTTGGGAGCTTTAAAAATTAACAGTACCTGGGCCTCACCTCCAGAGATTATAATTTAATTGATGTGGGGGTGTGGCCTGAGCAGGAGGTAGGGGGCATGTTTCTTTCTAATACGTTGTCATCATTCAGTTATGTCCAACTCTTGGCGACCCGTGAACTGCAGCACTCCAGGCTTCGCTGTCCTTTACTATCTCCCGGAGTTTGCTCAAACTCATGTCTGTTGAGTCAATGGTGCCATCCAACCATCTCATCCTCTGTCCCTGCACTTCTCCTCCTACCTCCAATCTTTCCCAGAGTCAGGGTCTTTTCCAGTGAGTTGGCTCTTCGTATCAGCTGGCTAAAGTATTGGAGCTTCAGCTTCAGCATCAGTCCTTCCAGTGAATATTCAGGGTTGATTTCCTTTAGGATTGACTGGTTTGGTCTCTTTGCAGTCCAAGGGACTCTCAAGAGTCTTCTCCAGCACCACAGGTGATTTTAATATGGAGCAAAGTTTGGGGAATCACTGAGCTGTGGAAATTGCAGAAAGGTGCCATTCTAACTTATTGTTGATTGTCTAATTTAAACTTGGTATTGTGACCATCTGCAAGGGGGCATTTCTGTTTCTCCAAAGACTCATGGTTTGAAGTCAGGCTCTTCCAGAATCTTGTCTATGATTTTGGAACTTCAGGTCACTCTGGTACCCAAAGCATTCCTGGAAGTTTATCTTCATCCCTGTCTGTTCTGCTTTTCTCTGTCTCATTCACAAACCAGATAGTTGCCAGTCATTGAGTCTAGATGAAGTGGACAGTCTTGATTTGCCCTTAAATGCCTTTCACTGGTCCTGAAGATCTGTCATTTCTTCTGGTTTCTGTATATATCCTTTCCTCTGTTGATCTGAGAAGAGAAGCTTATAGTTAAATGATTCACTCCTTTGTTTTGAGAAATCCCTCCCTGTATTTCTCAGTTTGGAACTCTTCACTTGGCTTTTAGAGATGGGAATTGTTCCCTGGCCCAGAATGCATTCTCAATGGTGATACTTAGATTTAAAAGCAATTTCATAACCATCTGCAATGTCTACAACTTCTAATGGATGCAACTGCTTTTCTGAATCCTTTGCCACAGAAGACTGTTTTGAGCAGAAGTTTAAATAGAACTTTGTGTAAGTGTTCAAAGTGGAGACGTGTTGTGGTTTCACCACTGGTCAAATCAACAGATCACTGATCAGAGGAGTATTGTGGCAAAAGTTTTGTTGGGGGATCTTGAGAAAGACATCCAGAAATCTGAGGAGGCATCATAGCCTATGAGTCTGGACCAGCCACATCAGTATCACTTGAAAGTTTTTGAGAAATGCAGAATCTCAGGCTCCCATCTCACCTGCTTGAGGAGAATTTGCATTTTCATGAGGTCACGTAGCAAATAACATTTAAGAAGCCCTGACACAACATGGGCTATGACATAAATGCCTCAGTTTTTTTTTCTTTTCTTCCCCTTTCACATGCTGTGTATGTGACTTTGGCAAGTTTCTTCGCCTTTCTAAATTTCTTCATCTGCCTTGAGGCTAATAGTACAGCTGTGTCAGTTCAGTTCAGTTCAGTTCAGTTCAGTTCAGTCACTCAGTCGTGTCTGACTCTTTGCAATCCCATGGACTGCAACATGCCAGGCTTCCCTATCTATCACCAACTCCCAGAGTTTACTCAAACTCATGTCCATTGAGTTGGTGATGCCATCCAACCAGCTCATCCTCTGTCGTCCCCTTCTCCTCCCACCTTCAATCTTTCCCAGCTTCAGGGTCTTTTCAAATGAGTCAGTTCTTCTCATCAGGTGGCCAAAGTATTGGAGTTTCGGCTTCAACCTCAGTCCTTCCAATGAACATCCAGGACTGATTTTTTTTAGGATGACTAGTTGGATCTCCTTGCAGTCCAAGGGACTCTCAAGAGTCTTCTCCAACAAACACAGTTCAAAAGCATCAATTCTTTGGCACTCAGCTTTCTTTATAGCCCAACTCTCACATCCATACATGACCACTGGAAAAACCATAGCCTTGACTAGACGGACCTTTGTTGGCAAAGTAATGTCTCTACTTTTCAATATGCTATCTAGGTTGGTTATAACTTTTCTTCCAAGGAGTAAGTGTCTTTTAATTTCATGGCTGCAGTCACCATCCACAGTGATTTTTGAGCCCCCCAAAATAAAGTCTGTCACTGTTTCCACTGTTTCTGCATCTATTTTCCATGAAGTGATGGGACTGGATGCCATGATCTTAGTTCTCTGAATGTGTAGAGTTGCTTAATGAGTTAAACTAAGGAGATCACTTAAAATAGATCCTGAACATAGCAAACCTCTATATCAGCCATAGTGGGGCTATGGAAGTATATTCACAACTCAAGGCAAATAAATCAAATTAATGAGAGGTATATAGGCATTGGTGTCCTTAGACCAGGAAGGATCCATGGGGCTGTATCCAGGATGAAAGCCCCTGGCCCTAAGCCTTCTGTGCTTGCCCCTGCCTGTAGCACATCCTCTGAGGATGAAGGGGCTTTGGAGGGCTTTATGGGGCTCTTGCATATCGAAAGCACAGGCTTGTTTGGTTTAGGGAGTGGAATGAGGGTCCTGCCTTAATAATAGTAAAAGCAATGATACCACGAATGTGGAGTATCCACTCTTTCTGGCTAGTCTGTTAGTTACTTTATTTACAATGCAAAGGGGATCCTGCAACATTTCATAGCTATAACATCTCTTATTTTCACATTGGCAGAAAATTCCTCTTTCCTTCCAGAAGAGCCCTTTACCCTAACTCTTCTAGAAATCCCTCTCCAGTTTTAAAGGGAGCTTTAATACTGGACAGTTACTTTGGACACGGAAAATCAGTGAAGCCCATCTCCATCTCCCGCCTCTCAAATCTGGCTGCCTCTAGACTCTCACTACTCAAAGTGTGGTCCATGGACCAGTAGTGACTGCATCCCATGAGAGCTTGTTAGAAGTGTAGACTCTTGGGCCTGTCCCCTGACCTAGTGATTCAGAATCTGCATTTTAACAAGATCTTTAGGCAATTTGTACATATATTAAAGTTGGAGAAGATCCCATTAGCACCACAAGCCTCAGCCCTGATAACACACTGGAATGATGTAAGCAATTCTGGTAACACTAATGCCTGGCCCTTACCTCCCAGGATTCTGATTGAATTGGTCTGGGGTAGAATCTGGATGTTAGTATTTTTCAAAAACTTCCCACACGATTCCATTGTTCAACAAACCAAGAACCAGAGCTAAAGGGAGATTGTCAAATAAGAAAAACATCCTCAAGGACTGCAGAGTTTGAATTCACATCAAGACTCACAAAGATGGTGCTTGGCTGGTCCTTCTTAGTGAGCTGCAGGGGTAAGTCTTCTCCATGGCAGATGGGCTGAAG